ATGGCAGGGATTTGGTGCTGAGCTGCCCTTGGTGGGCAAGAGAGTGCCTGTGTCCTTTGTGCGTGGTATGGGGAGGTTTGGGTGACATGGGCATGACCTCACGGCGTGTAGGAAGGACGTGGTTTTGCCTCATCACTGTGAATCCCAGTGGGGAGAAAGTGGTAATTTCCTCATCAGCAGTGGCAGGTTTGCAGGCAGGACTGGAGCTGGGGGTGTGCAGCGTGTGTGGGAGGAGGGAGAGAGCTGATGCTGAAATCAGGCTCTCATGTGCCTTTTCTGTTTACTTCCTGGCTTTTGTTAACTGTTTGCTGGCTGGGCCTGCCTCTCCTCTCGCCATGGAAACTGTAGGCACCAGCCTGCGCCGAGTTGTCTCTCTTCAAGAGGCCATGGCTGCAAGGGGGGTACAGGCAGGGAACTGAGGGCTTTACCAGAGCTCAGATGTGGAGCAGTGCCTCATTTCTCCAGTCTAAGACCCTGTGGGTTTGCAGGGGACTGCTGGATGTTTTGCCAGTAGAGATGTGGGGATCTTATCTCTTGTGAATGGCTTGGTTGTAGTGACCAGAAGGGGTTATCGCAGTGGAGCTGTTGTGATTTACATCTCTGGCTGTGCTGGATGACCAGCCGCGCAGCTGAGCATCCAGAGCCCATAGCCTGGCTGTGGCTGGGCTCAGCTCTCGACAGTGTCCCCTGCTCGGGGTCAGGGAAACGCCTCCATCTCCTCCGCCCTCCTCCTGCGGGGTCTGCCCTCCCCACCGCCTCCCGAAGGACGTCCGTGGCGCGCTGCTGACGCGCTGGCAGCGGGGCTGTGACGCGGGGCTGCGGTGCTGCGCACCCCATGTCCAGGCAGCGGAGCCCGCGGCCCCGGATGCTGATGCTCCCGGTTTGGGCAGAGCCTCATCAGTATTCCTGGTGCGCGGCCCAGCCGGCTGGAGCTGGTCTGCAGAGCCTGGCACTGCGCTCGGGGCCCTCCTGCAGCTGCGGATGGGCTCAGCCGGTGGCACTGCATGGAGCCCTCCTGCTCTGCTGCTCCAGCCTCACGCCGACATCACATGGGTCCGGCTGGACTCTGTGTGCCGGGGGGCCTTGCGCATCCCACAGCCTGGCCTGGGCGGTGGCACTAAGCCCATGGCCCCACTGCAGGCACAGTGTGCTTGCATGTAGGTCCCCAGGGCTGGCTGATGTCTGTCCAGTCCCAGTCTGCTGCTGGCATCTGCATGCTGCCAGGGTGCTGAGAACTTGCAGCTCTGTGCTGAGAACCTCACCCCTCCATCCCCAACTGCTGAGGTGTTCTCAGACGCTGCAGTCCCAGTCCCTCTTCTGGTGCTGCCCATGTGGCTTGCTGCAGTGGGTCTCCTAGTCTTGGAGGAGCACCTTCAGAGCCAGGTGGGACAGTGAATGCATCCATCCCATCCTCCAGGCTGAATGTCCCCTTGCAACAAAACCTCTGGATCTGCAGACAGCTGGAGCAGAAATACCAGTGCCAGTCAGGTCTGGAGGAGCGCAATGGAGCGTTTGACCAGTCACGGTTCAGACTCTTTTTCCATTTCAGGGCTCCACCCTGAGCTGCTCATTTGGGCCCAGCCAGCAGTGGAAAGTTCCCTGACTTTGGGACTGTCTTCCAGTGCAGCTGTTGTTTAGCTTCTCATGGCTTTTTGTTAATCTAAGCCAGATGTTCATTGCCATACTATTTGGAACATGAGTGTGACTCATAAAAGTACTGGTAAGGACTAACTTGCTTCTGTCCCCAGGCACCTGCCCTGGGTCAAGATTGCACAAGCACAGTGTCCCTGTTACATCCCAGCTCTTGGAGCTCGTCTGCTTCCGGAGCTCTGCGTGGCACAGGGGACTCCAGCACCCGTCTTCCCACCAGGCGGTGGAGTTGCAACCTTCCATTTGCATTAGGTACGCACACAGCACCAGTCAAACCTGGTATAGTCATAGAGTAAACTGCCTAAGAGATGCTTAAAGGTGCGTGGGGCATATTTCAGTAGTGGCTGTTTCGAAACACTGGTGGTTTCTGGTTTCCTGGTCTCATTCTCAGAAGAGTTCCTCCATCAGTCACTGTTTCAGCCATACTGGTTGAAGAGGCAGCCAAAGCCCATGTGCTGTTGATATCTCATGGGGTTTGAGACCTTTTTTAGGTGTAAGCACCCTCCCTGCAGTCTTCTGCCCCCACATGTTGTATCTGAGACTCCGTTTCATTCTGTTTTATGTCTTTTGTTCTTTCTGTAGGAATAATGCCAAAGGGATCAAATCAATGTATGTAGCATGTGGAAACCTTTGCCTCGTAACAGGCTAATTAGATAAAAGTACCATTATGTTGTTAATGTAGTAAAGACCAATATCTTCTTGGGATGTAGCCATATGGATATGGTATGTGTATTTCTTCTGAGTGCTGCTGGAGGCCCCAGCTGAGTATTGTGCCCAGGTTCTGGCACTGCATTTAGATAAAGGTAGTAGACAAAGCGTAGAGGATCGAAGGGGATGCATTAAAAACAGTAATAGCTTTTATAATGCAGTCCTTGGTGGGACAGGGAAGGAGACATTGAGAGCTGTGGGGAATGCTCTCTGTTTCCCAGTACGCTTGAGGCTGTGGGAAGAATGAAGCCTCCTCTCGTGCACAGCTTGTACGGTTACTGCAGAAGTAATAGTCATTGTGTGCAGGCAAGGGGATCCGGACAGGACTGTGGGAGGAGGAGGAGGCCGAGCAGTGAGGATGGTGCAGTGCTGCAGTTGGCTCAGGGAGGCTGTGAAGGACAGGTCAGACAGACGCCTGTCAGGGTGATCCACACACGTGTCTCGTCCTGCCTCGGTAGCGGAGTGTGTGGTACAGCGTTTCTTCCAGCAGATATTCCTGTGATTCAGTGATACCGAAAGCCCAGAACTTGCCAGAATGATTAAAAAAGATGAGATTCACATAGAAGGTGTACCATCTGGCATTGTCAGAGGAAAAGTTAAACCCAGGATCTTGGGAAGGGATGAATATAGATGGTTCCGCTTCATTACAGCAGCAATTCGCAATCCCTGGGAGCATGGAGCTGTGCAAAGCTTGGGTGGGAAGGAGCTTGTGAGGTTACCGGTCTGGTTCCCTGCCCATGGGCTGGTTACCTGTGTCTGGATCGCTCTGTGCGATCGGTTCTGACATCTCCGGTGGCAGAGACACCGTGGGCTCTGCAGGCAGGCTCGTCTGGTGCTCGGCGCTCTTTGGAAGACGTTCTCTCATCATTGCTTTCTGCAGAATTCCTTGCTCCTCGCTGCAGTGCGCCTGCTCCTGAGAGACAGGACAGCAGATGATGTGGATGAGGGTCGGATCCAGTCTGGCAGCTTGTGTGTTCCTGTGACCCTGGCACAGATGGCAGAGCTGTGGCTTTGGCGGGTTGTCAGGCGCCTTCTGCTCACATTTAGACACTGGTGCCCTTTGGCTTGGGAGGGAGGGGAACTGGGTGTGCCTGTCTGCTGCCCAAGAAGCACTGATGGAGTGTGAGGACAGACACCAGTGAGCTGCTCCTCGGAGTGGGCAGCTGCTCCGTGTGCCCAGGGAAGAGAAGGACCTCTAGCCAAGGGAGCAGGCTGCTGCATGATGGCTCTGCTTATGCCACAGGGTGGTGGTGGAACCTGTGTGCTTAGGGGAGGATGGAGGAGAGAGAGGAAGGGGCTTGGCTGAGGTGCAGGCTGTGCCGTGGGAAGAGGGGAAAGGCTGAACCTGGTGGTGCCTCGTGTTGAGGTGGGGTTTAGCTGTGGGCAATGACTGGGTCTGGATGCATCCACAGAGAACTGCAGGAGATGGGGTGTTGCTCAAGGAAATGGTGGGGACATACTGTGAAGGGCGATGAGGGATCGAAGAGGGGGCAAGTCCAAAAAGATGGTGGGATTTTGGAAGTCAGGGCAGTAAAGATTGGATAAGAGGAGGGAAAATGAGGTGCTGGTATGAAGACAGTCCTGGAGAGGCCTTGAGAGGCAGAAGGCTGGTTTAGCAGGCAGGGCTTCCATAAAGATAAAAGTAGTGTGAAAAACAAGGGGGACTCAAGCATCTCTTTTGTCCCCTCCCCAAAGGGATCGCAGAGTGGGAGGGAAAGAAGCCAGGGAAAGGGAAAACGCAATGGGAAAAGAGAGGAGGAGGCCCCATGTGGACTGCTGCAGGCAGCAAGGGCTGGGGGTGCTGGGGAGGAGACGGCGCGGGTGCTGCAGTGGGGGGCTCTGGCAGGAGGGCCAGAGCTGAGCCATGCAGTGTGTGATGGAGGAAGAGGCTTTGCTCTGGAGCCAGTCGGGAGCCGGGCTCCGCCCGCGGTGGTTCCGCCGCTGCCGGGGACGGGGCCGCCCGGGTTGTGTGCGGGTGTGTGCGTGAGTCTCGGTGCCGGCGCCGCGGGAGGGCGACTGGAGATAGCGGCGAGCGGTGGCGCCGCGCCCCCTGGCGGACATTGCCAGCCCTGCACCGCGACGGAGGGGGGTCGCTCCTGGGTCACACCTGACCCTGCCCGTTACCGGCCCAGCCGGGCGGTGCGGGCAGCCGAGGGAGCCCTGCCCGGGGCTCGGGGCTGCCTCTACAGGGTCCGGCCCGGGCGGCGAGCACCGCGGCGTGGCGGGTGCGGGCCGCCCGGGAGCGCCGCCGCTCCCCGTTGCAAAGTGCAGGCTGCCGCCGCGAGCACCGAGCGGCCAGGCAGTGACAGGGCCCTGCCCCGGGGCTGTAACAGAGCCGCCACCCGGTACCGGCACCGGGTGAAGGGCAGCGCCAGCTCGCCCAGGGCTCGGTGCCCGCGGCGGCGAAGGGAGGGCGAGGCCGGGCGCGGCGGCCCCGGCCCCATCCCCATCTGCGGCCCCGTTCCGGGGCGGGCCCAGCCCCGCGCTGGCGGCGCGCCGGAGCGCGGCCCGGGCATGCCGGCGCGGCGTGGGAGCCGGCAGGCAGCGGGCGGCGTACGGGGCCCCGCTGCGCCGCCTCCCCGGGGCCGGCCGCCCGCACCGGCAGCGGCCCAGAGCGGCGGGGGGCCCGGGGCCATGGGGCAGCCCCGCAGCTGACGATGGCGGAGGGCTGGCGCTGGAGCGAAGCGGGCCGGGGCCCCCCGCGGCCGAGCCCCCGCCGCGCCGTCAGCGTTTGCGAGTCCCTGGACCTGCAGGGCGTCCCCGCCGTGCAGGCCGCCCTCAAAGCCGCCCAGCAGCAGCGGCGGCGGCCCAAGAGCTTCTGCGCGGCGGGGAACGGGCTGGCGGCCGGGGCCCTGCTGCCCCCGCCGCCGCCCGCCAGGGCCCGCGGTAGCCTTTTGGACTTCTTCAGGCTGCGCTCGCCCCGCAAGCCCGACCCGGCGGGAGAGTGCGAGGGCGAGGGCACGGAGTCCCTGCTCGACGGCGCCGACGGGGCGCAGCGCCCGCGCCCCAGCAGCATGACTTTCCTGCCCTCGGCCCGGCAGCCGCACATCCCCGAGAGCCCCGGCTTCCTCCGCGGGGGCTCCCTGTGGGGTAGCCGCCGATGGAATCTCTTTGGGGGCAGCGGCTGGAGCAGCCCCGGCCCCAGGAAGAACTTCAGCTCCCTGCGCAAAAGCTTCAGCTTCCGTCTGCGACGGGGCCACGAGCTGCGGAGGTCAGAGTCAGGGGGGCTCCTGCGCCCCGCGCGTCTCCGCACCAAGAGCGAAGGGGATGCCAGCTCCCTGCACACCTGCCCCAGCAAGCGGGACCTGCTCTATCCGGAGCTGGCCAGGGTTGGGGGCAGGCTGCACGCTGATGCCGGGCAGCCCGGGGGACTCTGGAAGCTCCTCACGAGCCGCTTCCGAAGGCGAGAGCGCGCTGGCACCAGTGGCGCGTGCCCCAGTAACCCCCACGGTGGTGCCGAGCCTGTCCTCCTGGGCAGTGGTCCGCTGCGAGCACTGGGTAAGTGGTTCTGGCCTGGCGAGAGCCCCCTGCGCCTGTGGGATCTGTGGGGATGGGTGGCTGTGCCCCGTTCCAGCTCGCTGGGGTTTGTGCTTCCCAAAGCTTGGCTGTAGCAAGGTAGCATGAGCGTTCATGGGGCTGTTTCCATGCTCCAGCAGCCGTGGGCACCACCACTGTTGTTGGTGCTGAAGGAGCTGCAGCGTGGCTAGCTGGGGGTGATCAGTTACAGAATGGTTTGAGTTGGAAGGGACCTTAAAGCTCAGTCAGTTCCAACCCCCTGCCACAGGCAGGGACACCTTCCACTAGACAAGGTTGCTCCAAGCCCTGTTCAACCTGGTGTTAAACACTGCCAGGGATGGGGCAGCCACAGCTTCTCTGAGTGTCTGGATTGTCTTGCTGGTTGGACACCTGGGAGCTGAGCAATGTGTCCCAGGTCTTTCTATACCAGCAAGGGCAGGGAGAGCTGAGCTGTGTGCTCTGTCCCTGCGGGAGCAGAAGGAACTGAAGCTGCATGGGAGGGGTGGAGGGGTCCTGTTGGGCTCCAGAGCAAGGGTTGAACTGTTTGGGAGATTGCCAGAGTGGAGGTGCGGAGCAGCAAGTGTGGGTTTTGTGGAGCACAGGAATGTGCCTGCACCTCCCTCATGTAAGCAGCTCCCTGGTACCAGGCTCTGTCAGGGCGATGGTGCTGCCTGGGTCTGCCTTGGGGCCAGGTGGAGGTGAGGAGTGTGTGTTCAGGATCATGGTCGTGCTCGCCTGGGTGTGGGGCAGCGTGATGGGGGCTGGCAGTTGAAGGGGTTGTCGGGTCCTTGGGCAGGCTCTGGAGGGCGAGAGGAGCATCCATAGGCTTTGAAGGTCTTGAGCACTGGCCTGTGCACATGGCGCTGGGGCTGGGCTGGGTGGGAGCTGCTGCACTCAGGGAGGCAGGGCAGCCTCTTCAGGCTTCCATCGCTCTGCTGCGGAGCCCAGGCGCTCTGGAGGCAGCTCCCTGGCTTGGCTCATGTGCCAGAGGGGCAGATGGGGCTGGTGGGCTCCGCAGGCAGCGGCTGCTGGAGCAGCTTTGTGCCAGGATGCTGTCCAGGATGGCTGGGCTCCAAGGACCAGCGGAGGAGCAGCGCTGCTGGCAGCCTGAGCCTTGCTGCCACACATGGAGCTGAGGGGGCTTGTTCCTGCCAGCTCGCTGTGTTCTGGGGAAAGCCCTGGAGGCTCTGGGTGGGTGGGTGGGTGGCTGAGGCTGCCTTGGAGGCAAAGGGACAGGGCCCTGATGCTGCTGCCGTGTGCTCCTCGCAGGGGGCCTGCCGCTGGCTGGGGTGCCCGGGGCCGGGTGCTGGGTGCTGGCTGGGTGGCGGGAGGTTCCCAGGCGAGGGGAGGCTGCGCTCATGGCTGGGGAATGTGGGTGTATCCGGGCAGGGAGGGCCGGGCCCTGCCCGTGCGGCGGGGGGCCTGTTCCTGCTTGCCAGCGGCTTCCAGCAGGAGCTGCGCCAGGCGGCCGCATTCCCAGGGGAGTAGCTGAGGTTGAGGGCTTGTGGTGGTTTCCTTGGCCCTCACCTCGCTGCTCTCTGCAGTTACCTGAAAGGAGGTTGGAGCTAGGAGGGGGCTGGTCTCTGCTCCCAAGAACAAGAGGAAAAGGCCTCAAGATGCTCCAGAGGATATTGGAGAAAAATAGATAGTCAGGCAGTGGAACAGGCTGCCCAGGGCAGCGGTGGAATCGCCATCCCTGGAAGTGTTCACAACTGTGTAGATGAGGCCTTCAGTGACATGGGTTAGTGCTGGACTAGTGCTGAGCTAATGGTTGGACTTGGTGATCTTTAAAGGTCTTTTCCAACCCAGCTGATTCTGTGATTCGATGATCTGCTGGGGAGCCTTCGCTGAGGAGCAGTGCAGGGGGCTTGGAGCCAGCTAGAGATCACTGCTTGTCAGGGTGGTTAGCATTTGCCACCGTGGCTCATATTGGAGGCCCAAGCTCGGGGATGGCCTCTCTGACCTGCTTCAGGGTCTGTGGCTCATTGTGGCTGAGCAGGCCCTGCGTGCTGGAGGTGCAAAGTTCATGCTTTGGTTTGGTCTTCAGAGCACTGCTTTGCCATTGCCTGCCTGGTACCCAGTACAGGCGGTCCAGGCTTCTGTACACAGCCAGTGTCCTCCTGGGGCCAACAAGATGTGAAGAAGGAGCAGGGAAATTTGCAGAGCAAAGCTGCTGTTGCTTGTCCCACCTTACGTGCAGTTTCCTGTTGTCTCTTCACTCAGCATGTTGGTCCATGAGCTCTGGCTTGCTCCAGTGGGAGCTGCGAGCCTCTAAAGCCAGGAGGTGCGGAACCTTAATACTGCTCCAACATGGGCTTGCTGGAAGAGGGAGCTCAAGGAGATCTCTGCCCCATTCCTGTTTCAGCTTGGCAGGCCAGGAGTGTTTTAACACCTTCTCGAAGTTTCAAAAGCTTTGGTGCTCTCTATGCTATTGCTGCCCACCTTAGCCCTAGGAGAGCTGCTGATACAGTCCCAACACGCCCTCCTGAGGGGTGCAGCTGCAGTTGTGGTTATCAGCTCTTTGGAAGAGCTGGATGTATGAGTCCAGGCAGAGATCCAACCCAGCACTGCTACCCGCTTTCCAGAACCTGGAGTTTTTGTTCACAGCAAGCTGAGATACCCATCCAGCCCTGCATACTGCTGTGTAGATGTACCCAAGGACTAAAAAGCCCATCCCACCAGAGAGCCAGGAGGATGGTCTCAGTGCTGCTCCCCCATCCTTGTGCATAGAGGGACCATGCAATGAGTGCAGCATCTCCGACAGTTCTGGAAGTCCTTCTTACAACCACATTCCTCTCTCCCAAGAAAGATGCTTTCTAAGGTGGTTTAAGGTAACTCTGTTTACTCTGGTGTAAGCCATGTTCAGTCTCTGTGGGGGTGGGTTTCAGCTGGAACTCTGCACAGGGAGGGCTGATCATAGGAGCACAGAGTTCGTTAGCCAAAAATGACTTAAAAGAGCTGGTCTTTGTGTGGGAGGATGGCGGGTAACTGGGGGTGTTAATACACCAAGGGAAGGCAAAGAGCCCTGTGGACCTAGAGAACAAAGTCAAACCAGACTCTAGCCAGCTTGGACTGATGACAAATAACCATCACTGGTGGTTCAGAGGAACATCTCTAGGTATCAAGGTATCAGTTGTTGCAGTTCTAAGAAGCTCTCTGATGGGCACAGGCTTGGAAAGACTGAGCTGGTTTGGGACTGGAGTTTTCCCTGTGCATAGAGGGACCATGCAACGGGTGCAGCTCTCCGACAGCTCAGGAAGTGTTTCTCACAATCACATTCCCCCCTCCCAAGAAAGATGCCCTGCTTTCCAAGGTGGTTTAAGGTAACTGCCTTTACTTTGGTGTTTAGCCATACAGGGCACTGATGTGTAGGGCATATGTGAGAGAAGACTACTGGGAGACGAGGGGTGTGTTTTTACATTAATAAGGTGAAGTTTGCATAGTGAACTGAGTGGATAATGATATGCATCATCTCTTGTTGGTACCTGCCTCAGCGTAGCTGGGAGCCCTGGGGAGAAGCAGAGATGCCATGATGGGTTTAGAGACCATGCCTTGAATGCTGAATCCAGTCTGGTGTCCACGCTTCAGAAAAGCTTGAGAAGTCTGGCAGGTATCAAGGAAGGAGTTGTTGGGACACCGATCTGATCCTCAGGATGAGATCTGAGGTGTGTGCAGTGGCTGCAGAGGTGTTCTGATTACAGTCTACAGGCATCTGTAGGAAGAGGGAGCTTCAAAAACCAGCACCTTTTTCATCTTAACCTCCCTTTGCTTGTGAGGTTGAACAGCTGGAGCTGAGGTCGAGCAAATTTGGAACAGGTTTTTACTGGTGAGGTAGGTCCCCACAGAGCACTGGTGTGGGGCAGGTGATGGGTTATGACTTTCATGTCAGCAGCTCTGCTGGGTTGTCCCTTTCAGCAGACCATGGCCAGCCATCAGAGCAGAATTCAGTACAGTTCTTTGGTCTGTGTGTATTCAGATGTGGATTGGGAAGTAGTAGGTGCTAAAGGCTTAATATATGGCTAAAAGCTGTGCCCTGCACTGCATATAGTCTGACAGCACCAGCTGCTGCCAATTGTGGTGTTCTAGGGAGTAAGAGTGGCAGTTTGTGATGGCTGGAGGATCTGTTTCCACACAGATCCTCTGGGAAAGATCCTCTCCTTTCACTGCTGCAAAGCACTTAAAGCTCTGGTGAGGTAATCCTTACTAAGGCCACGTCCTACACAGGGTGTCCACGTTGGGTAATCCTGTGATGGGAACGCTAGCCTTGCCATGTTGGTCCATGACCTGGAGAAATCTCTCTTCCTGCCAGCATTGCCAGGGTTGAAGGTTTTTTGAGCCTGGCCAGGAAGAGGTGGCTCTGCCCAGGCACGTCGCACTCTGCTGCCCTTTTATCTGCGTGTGCGGGCAGATGGGTACTTTGGAACGTGGTTTGTGTGGGCACCGCTGTGTTTGCTCAGCCTCTGACCTGGTTTCAAGGCTGCTTTTACTGTCAAGGGTTTCACTGTCCAAGTCAGTTCCACAGTGGCTTGGATAATGAGTCGGTTAATTATTAGTTGCTGTGTGCAGAGACCAAATGTGTCTGGCACTAGTGCTTCTGAAGTGTAAGGTAGATGAACCTGCTATGCTTCATCCTATGAAGGGAGCAGCCTGGGTGAGCAGTCAGTTTTGCCCAGCCAGCCCCTTCCTGCTCCCAGCTTTGCAGCAGCATATGTATACAGGCAGCAGCGGGACCATGATGTTGGTAGAGGTGAAGGAGGCTGTTGTGTCCAGCCTCTGAGATGGACAGTTCTGGTCTTGCTTCCTGTGTGTGATGCTGCCCATCCCACAACTGTGGTCTGGTCTGAGAGCACTGAAGGTGTCCAGGATGAGTGGCTGACCGAGGCACATCAGCTATGTAGGGTGCCTGCTTTATGTCCATACCCTCTTTATGTCCGTATCTGCTGCTCTTCACAGTGGGGACTCTATCCACAGTAACTTCCAAA